AGACGCAGCTGGAGAGCTTTACAGATCAAATGCACTTGGCGCTGAAGGATGCTGGATCAATCACTCCTGATTGGGCCAAGATGGCAGCTGTCACGAGCACTTAGGAGCAGAGAGGAGGGTATCCCTGGTGTGGGAATTACAGAGGAAAGGATGGAGGAATGAATGGAAGGGGCGGAAAATAATCTTTGGGCAGAAGGCTTAGGGCAAGAAAATAACAGCGATGGTAGAGGGAGGAGCCATTTTATATACAGACATAAATATGGTGAAGAGGTAGTTGAGAGGTACTGAAAATGTGGTGAGGGTTTGTGCAGTTAGCCCATGGTCAGAGAACCCTTCTTAGATCAGCATGGTGGTCATGGGTGAAACTATCACAGAGCCCAAAACCCATGACCAGCACAGGTCTCACCATCAGCAGGGTAGAAGAGTCTGTGGAAGGAAGCCTCCTGAGAGATAAAACAGTGGCAGACATAAAATACAGGGACTGGACTGAAAAGCCATTAATGAAACCATCAGAAATATTTTGCATATTAGTTGCTTTGACATTTAAAGAAGGGCAATGCATTCATGAGCATCTTTTACATGAGCAATACGTCTGTGGACTCAGGAAATTCTTAACGGGATGTAGGACTTGTCATCTGTGTGCCAGTAGTTCAGATGTAGTCCACATTTTACTGGGCTCAATGTTAATAACATCTGATAACACTTTGATGGCCTTCATGCTTTTTCAACTCATTCCAGGTGGAGATGCACCCACATCACAAAAACGCTCTCATATAATGAATGCTAATAGCACGCGTGGTGACAGGATCAGAGGAGGCAAAGGCTGAAACTCCATCTGAGAGGAGTCCCTGCAGTCCCTTTGCTTCCAGGTTCCCAGCATACCTTGTGATCCTTATTTCCAGACCACAGGGTGCATCAAATGTAGCATGTGTAGCTGTTGCATGCGATATGAGTATTTTGTGAACCCAGAAAGATGAGTCTTATTATTTTCCCTGGCTTTCACAAACTCAACATTTTCATTTTTATTTAATTTTAATTAATTTTAATTTTTAATTTTTATTTTATTTATTTTTTATTATTCATCATTATTATTATCTATTATTATTATTACAAAAAGCATTTTCACAAGCTGTATTCAACTATTCTACCAGGATATATTATATTCTAAGAGGAATAGTAAGTTAGGCCAACTTTTCCTTTCTTCCTTATCCATGCCCCACATATATGGTAGAAAAAATACTTCTCAAGCCATCCAAAATGATAACCAGCATTACACACAGAGCAAGGGAGACCAGGTTGCTCAGGATCAATTTCAGTTTTCTTTGTTAAAGTACATAGACATAGATGGTGACAGAATTACTAGGAGTTTGCTCCATCACTCTTAGCAAGTCATAGGTACATGAAGACAACAGATCTTTCATGTACGAGGTCAGTAGTTTTAGGCCAGCAGCTCCAGGTCTAAGTGCAAATCTTCATGGCCAGTGAAGTCTGTGAATGCGTTGCTTGTGCGTGCCAATAGCTGGTTGCCTGCACGTGGTACTCAGAGAGTTTTAGGAAGTGCTTGGACAAATGTTATTTGGCTGGAGTGCTCATGGTTTTGCATGT